AATAATAAATCCGTCGGAATTCCATCGGTTTGCGTAGCCGTCGGAAATCCGCCGGCAAAAGTGCCGTCGGAAATCCGTCGGTTACCACCGTCGTCGGAAATCCGTCGGAAGTTCTGGCCGTCGGAACTCCGTCGGAAATCCGTCGGTAATTGGAATCCGACAGACTTCCGATGGATTCCGATTATCCCTTTTCCGTCGGAAATCCGTCAGTATTTCCGACGGATTTTTATTTCCGACGAGATAGAACCGACGGACTAAAACCGTCGGAAAACCGTCGGAATAGAGGTTATTCCGACGGTTTTGGCCATCGGAAACGACCCTGTTTTCTTGTAGTAATATTCTCACAAACTTATGTATTGTTGTTTGTGTAGGTACTAGATGACAAAAGGAGAGATATTAGAGAGCTTGAGCGGCCTTGTAGTGTCACGTGATATCGTCCAGTCTGTTGCATAACGAGACATACAATGTGAGTCTTGTCCTCTTGATTTGTGTCGAGGCTCGAAAACGCAGTGTTTTGGATGGTCTGTATCTGACAATTGTATGTGATGGAGAGGTCTCAGTGGTAGAAACATGAACAACCCCTTGATACATCAGTCTCTCAAAACACTCTACATACATATCCCTCTAAAACGCTTGGCTTTTGATTTCTTTTTCAGGATTTTTCTCATTTTCCAAGTATTCCATCATGTCAAATGATGGGTGATTCACGGGAGTTTGATACACTTTTTTTCAAAATTAATTACCACTAAAAACGCCAATTCATGGAAGAAACTTTGAGATCAATATATATATGACTATGAGTACAAACAAACAAAATTATCTTGAAATAAAGAAATCAAAAAATAAAAGAGATAAATTACAAGTTCTTTTCTAATCCAGATTAGATAGAAAGACGGTAATGAGAACAAACACAAGAATAAAATATCAAAATTTTCTTATTTTGAGCAACTAAAAGACAACTCTAATGTGAAAGACATTCAAATGAATTGGATCTTGCACTTGGAAGAAGCTGTGGGGAGGAACTTCATTAGGTCATTGGCGAGTGGCAAGTACTTATCTTCCTTATCCACTTGAATCTCAACTATTACCAATTCAAGACATCTCAAATTCTCCATGAAATGTCTCATCTGTTTCAATTCTTCACAACTTCCTCCATACCCATATATATATCTTTAGCACCTTCACTCGACATGACAACAAACAACAAATTTTCCTT